CCTTCTCCGGAGTCCTCTGCCTGCCCCAGGTGAACGTCCATTCACAGATGTGCTGCCATTCATTCTTCTGCCGCCTAGGCAGCTGTGGGCCTGGTGCAGCAAGCAGCGACCTGAGAGCCCAGCTGACACAGCCTCAGGTTCGATAGCCACCCCAGAGGTCCCCACCTGGCTCTCGAAAAAGAAAGTCTAGGAGGTTATAGATGGGGCTACGGAGCACCACAGTGATTGGCCAGGAGAGTTTCTGGCAGCCACAGCTGAGGCCTCTGATTCTCCCTTCCCCGCTGGCGTTCATGGTCACGGCCGGCCAGAGGCTGGACCAGCGTAATTTACGAGGCAGGAGGAGAATTCACCCTTAAAGGGGCTACCAGCCATTGGGGCCCCATTCAGTCCCAGTTTCCCAGGCTGGTGACAATGAAGGAGGGGGGGTGCTTCAGCCCCCCACCCAACTCCCTTCTCTCTTTTCCCTGCCCACCCCGCAACATTGCCTTTTGTTTCCAGACCGCTGCCTCCGCCTACCGTCCAGCACAAGGACCAGAGCAGAGGGAAGGGCACAGTCCTAGAACCCACTGGAGGTCTGAGAATGGCTTCCTCTGAGCGGGAAGGCCTTTCATCCAGACTTCTTCAGACCCCAGCCCCAGCCCAATAGACCCTGGGCTGACTTTGGAGAGAAGCAGTGAGAGAACCCATCAACCTTTCTGCACTTCATTTTTATCCTTCTCCCCAAGAGTCCCGCAACCTCCCATCTGCTGTTCCGCCCTTTCCAGGAGCAAGAAGGATGAGAAGCTGGGCACTGATGGGAGTTAACTGCAGCCTGGAAAGGGTGAAACTGGCCTGCTGACTTGGAGTGTTTCCCACGTGGGGAGAGTCTCCTCTAACAAGCTCTCCAAAGGCCATCCACAGAGCTCTTTACTCTCCCACCAGCACACAGCTTCAAGTTTTTGTACAGGCAGAGGCACAGGCAAACATACACACAGCTGGACACAGCACTGCACTGGGCCCACCCCAGCCTCCCTAGTGCACTTGCAAGCAGAGAAGTGTCTATAGTCCCCATAGAGCCCAGCAGAGTGGAGATACAATCACATGCCTCCATCCCCCACTGGGTATCTGACACCTGACACTTCCCCATCCACACATACTTGTTTCACCCATGTACATGTTCTCCCAAATTACCACCATTCCATCTGTCTGCAGTCTCCTGTGGGCTTGTCCTGGGCATGAAGCCCTTCCTACCTTGCCTAGTCACCCACTGTACCCCTTTTATGCAGCCCTTCCTGTGATCTCTGGGCTCTAGGGTGCTGGATATGAGCTCTGCCACTCCTAACTAACCTGATTCCCAGCCTAATAGAGAAGAGAGACCAGAACACTCCAAAAGGAGTGAGGGGACAAAGATATGCAATATTCTTTTTCCATTTGCTTTAAACTTGACTTCTGTGAGCTTCTCTGTCAATCTGTGTCTTGTTCTCTGTGTCTGTTGCTGGTACCTAGTGTAGTCCCAGCGGATAGTTGCCCTTCCCCTACCTGCCTCCCCAGCTCTCTGTAGTGTACCCTCCTATTCAAACGTCTGTCTTTAGCACGTTTTCCCTTTATATAGTCCTTGTACAGAGTTGCTTCATCATGTTAATATTGATAATAATAATAATTAAAACATGAATTATGATTGTGATTTTTTGAAAACACAAATTCTACCTCAAAAGAATGGGAGTCCCAGCCTCCTAGCTGTTCTCCACTTTTTTTTCTCCAGCTCAGGTGAATAATAAAAATAAAAAATGTATAATAATAATAAAAGAAGAGTGGTTGCAGGGGCAACAAAAATAGACAATCCACCAAGATCTGTTGATGAGCTACCATCTGCAGTACAAAGTAATTATAGCAGAGAGTAAATTGGGGGGTGGTAGACTTGGGGAAGGAGAGGGAGATTTGAAGAGTCATGGGGCCATAAAAATACTGTGGGCAGACTAAACGAGGTTGGAGCCAGTTTCAGAGCAGGATGTCTGTGCTGCCAGGACTTGACAAATAGAAGCTGGGAGAGGGCACGGGTGGCTGTACTGGAATACTGGGGCAGTGAGAGTAACCAGTAATCCAGGGACTGAGATGGAGTAGAGTTGGTGGGCTTAGAGCTTCAACCCTGTGATCTTAATCCTGTGGCTTCACTCTGAGATGACACTTGTGTATTGCAAGATGTTGAGAGGGGGCTAAAGACCCCTTGGAACTGGCAAAATAGGCTCCACTTTTTGAAGCCAGCGACCCTCTCCAGGCCAAGCCAGAGGTAAGCTCAGGCCCAGGCCAGTGGTAGAGTCCAGATGTGCCCAGGAGCCCTCTGCACATCCAACTACCCCTTCCTTCTGTGAGAAATGCCCTCTCTCTTTCTCTCCCTCTTGCCTCTTCCCTCCCCTCTCCCCAGTTACCTTTTCTACCTGTTTGGCTCCTATCAAAGGAGTCCTCCAAATTCCTCTTCCACCCTCAGGTATACTGGGGGCCCCCACCAAGTCCAGCCTTTGAGCCACACCTCCTGCCCTGAAATCTTCCTTTCTCTCTTTCCCTCCTTCTTTATTCCTATAATTAGAGAAACTAGCAAATTTAGACCAAATACCATTTTTTAAAACCCTAGTCCCCAGCTGCTTTGTGAATCTGAGGGGTATGGACAGGAACGAGACCCAAAATCTTAGGGTGCTCGTATTACCCTAAGTGCCGCATCAATCGAAGACGGGCAGCTTGGGCAGCCATAAGCTGGGGGAGGGGCTTAGTGGTTGAGCCTGGGTCTGAATAAAGGAAGGTAGGAGGAGTCTGAGTTCCAGGGAACCCAGGCAAAAGACTATCTGATTCTCATGAATCCCGTGTCTTCACGGGAAGGGTCAACAATAGGGACATCTCCGGCAAAAGAAAAAGAGGGATTTAGGAAGGCCGCAAATAACTGGCCTTTAAATTTATTCCCAGAGACTCTCCCAATTTGAAAGAGAAGGCACCTAGTTGGGTGGTGTCTCTGCAGATCCAAAGACTCAACGCAAACACTGGGGATGTTGCCAGAGAAGGAGAGACACTAGCCTCCTCCTTACGACTGAAAAACAAATCGCTGGGTCTCCCGGCCAAAGAGGAGGTCATGGCTGGAACCGCGATCCAAATACTTAGAGCGCAGCTGAGCTCTGGATCTGGGTGAGGATTTCCTCTATGCTTGCAACTATTTGTCCAGTTTAAGCCCCCAAACTACAATTGACTCTACTAACTTTAAGACAAAGCACTCCGTGTCTCTAGCAGGGTTTTGAGAAGCAAGTAAAGGTAGGAAAGAATCCGAATAATATAGGTAGACAACAATCCTGCTGTTGTGCGTGTATAATCTTATGTCGCCGAATGAGTTCTATATTTGGACCTGGTTATTCTCGCAGTTATCTGCTCCACTCTGACGTGCACAGATGAAACTGGGTATTTAAAGCCACTAAGCCGCTATCGAGCGGGCAGGAGATGGGTCTGGCAGTATGGGTTCTGTGGATGCTAATGCAGCCGGAAATCCGGCGCGATCAATGGCTCAGACCCAGAGCGGAGCAGGGACCGCTGGCCCCGATCCGCGAACAAAGCAAACCCCGGGGACTTGGGGTTCCGGCCAGGCCGGAGCCCCTACCCATCCTCCCCGCTATATCCAGGAAAGTAGGAGAGGTTTCTTAGGCCCCAGGCCGCGCGGGAAACGCACGCTGGAGCCGCCAATCCTCTCCGCACGGCACCTGGAGGCGCGGAAAGTTCCGGTGCAATTCAGAGGGAAGTGGAAGGCAGGCCCGATCCCACAGCGCGCCTATGCCGAGCTTTCGGTCCGAGAGGCCGCCTTTCTGCGTGTGCCTCGGTCGAGACGGCGCAGCGGATTTAAGGCGGAGAGGCGGTGGCCCGCACCCGCCGCTGCAGGAGTCCCCAGCTTCGCCCTCCGCTCCGCGCTGCAGCCCTGCGAGGTGCTCGCCGTTGCCACTTTAGGAGAGGCCCCGAAACAAAGACGCGCCGGCCACTGGTGGACGACGCGGGCGCCTGGGCCACTCCCTGACTCGCACCTGGAGTCCACAACGCCCCGGCCCTGTAGCGAGAGCTGTGAGACCTTGGTCCAATTCCCCGGCTGTCGCGGTCCCGGCTGCAGTCAACTCCAGGGTCCAGGGAGAGGAAACCCTGCGCACCCTCAGCCCCGGCTGACCCAAGCAGCTCCCGCGCCCGACAGCGCCGGCAGCTCTGGCCTCTTCCCGATGGCTGCTGGGCCCCCGCGAAGGAAGAGATGACCCCTGCTGGCCAGAGCTGTGGAGGCTGCCTCGCTGAGATCCGGACCTGTCCAGTGCTTGTCCCTGAGCACCCTAGGTCTGGGGTGGGGGACGCCCTGTGAGTGTAATAGACCGCCAAGAGCCGCCGGAATCTGAGGCACTGCCCGGGCTGCGGGAACCAGACCTTTCTCCTAAGCGCCTTCCCTCTGCTGGGCACGCGGCGTCCCAACGGCGGCGGCGGCCCGCCCTCCTGCCTGGCTTCTCATCCCTAGAGGCTCTGCCCTGGAGGCTCCTAAGACCTGTGCCGCCCGCTGGAGCCTGGCATAAGAGCCAAGAAACTGGGCCTCGGCAAGACCAAACACAGCTGGACCTTTAGCCAATCTAAACCAGCCCGTTGCCAGCAGGCTCCTCTTCCAGCCAGAGCCGCTTAGAAGGCAAGTCTTCACTTTGTCAGTTTACCTGGCCCAGAGTGGAGAGGTTCCTTCAAAAACAGGTCTGTAAGGATGGAATCCACTAGCAGCCCTTGCTTGGGAAGCTCTCTGTGAAAGGTGCATAGTCCACATGCAAAGCATGGAAACGATGTTCCATAAAGCACACACTTGGTCACAGTGCTGCTAATAAATTGAAACACAGCCTAGAATGCACAAATATCTATACTACAGGTACACTCTAGGCATAGAAAATATTTTCTCTATAAAATATACACACAGAGGCACTTTTATCTACTGTATGTGAAAGCAACCTACTGGGAAAGGATTACATACAGCACGTATATTCACCACATGTAAAACTTTATTTACACATATAACCACTATACACACACATCCTACACAAGGAATGTGCAGTCCTGAGTCTATTTAGCTACATGTGAGCATATACTCCATAAGGCATATAAAACCAATAGATAGAAAATGCACCTAGATATTAATATGTCTACATTTTAAAACTGCATGGGAAATATATTATTATATATACACAAAGTGCTTATCTACCCAATGTATGGAAAATACTTTCTGAGTTATGTTTATAAATATGCTGTGTGTGTACTAAAAAGTGCATTCCTCTGGGATTATGAACTGTTTAAGACACATTTCTCTAGCAATCTTACTAGCAGGAGGAAGTTCAGGCATTGGCAGTAGTAATCTCCATCTGGTGGGTCTTTTTTTTTCTGTTCTTCTGTACTTTATTATTTCTGTCTTTTAAATCCCCCTTCTATGTCTACATGCATTACTTATATAAGTGTTCTCCTATGTCCATTTCTCTGTTGCAACTTTTGTCCCAAGCTGGGGTCTATATTTACAGTGTAAAGTCCCATTTGCAGCAGGGTCCCACTGCATAATCTTGCCTGTATGGAATAAGCATTATATAATTAGGTTACCCATGTGTCTCAAGATGCATTCTTATAGACCTAATATAAATATATTATAGTTTCTCTGCACTGCCTGTTAGAAAAGGGGTGCCATCGTGGCTTGGCAAGGCATGTAACAGGCAGGTGGATTCCTGAGCGGGTGCTGAGACTTCAAGGGCTTCCAAAGGCTAGGGCTGGTTTCACTTTTATTTTTTATTTATTTTATTTTTCATTGCTTTCTGGGACTGAGTCTCACTCTGTCGCCAGGCTGAGGTGCAGTAGCGTGATCTCAGCTCACTGCAACCTTTGCCCCAGGTTCTAGCTATTCTCCTTCTTCAGCCTCCCCAGTAGCTGGGACTATAGACGTGCACCATGCCCAGCTAATTTTTGTATTTTTAGTAGAGACGGGGCTTTACCATGCTGCCCAGGATGGTCTCGATCTCTTGACCTCGTGATCCGCCCCCTCGGCCTCCCAAAGTGCTGGCATTACAGGTTGTGAGCCACCGCACCCTGCCTGGTTTCATTTTTAAAAAATTATTTTTGAATCTTGAGTCTAAGAAGCAGCATGAAGTAAAGGCTGGACCTCTGCTTCTGTGTCCCTCTCACATCCCAGACAGAGCAGCTCAAGTACCACGAATCCAGCTGGGACAGAGAGGTTTCTGGGTTACCCAGCTCCTTAGCTTCCTTGTAATTCTTAAACTGGGCTGGGTCTATGCAAGTAGCAGGGAAGGCTTTCCTATAACCCAAGCTTTTTTTCCAACAAAACACACTCCCAACCCCTTTGGGGAAGCATTTTCTGGCACTGAACGGACTGTTCTGGCCCTCTAAAATTAGTCCCATTTGGGTCTTTCCTTAGCAACTAAAAATCCGGAACCCTCTGACACATGCCTATGGAAAAATTCTTTGAGAGACAGTGCACTCACGCCCAACGGAGATATTGTTTATGAGTCCTTGGGTTCGGTGTTGACTCCGCCGTATTTTACAGTCCAAAGGAATCAATTAATTAGCGCCTCTCAGTCCCCTCGCCGGCCCGCTGCTCAGCTGAGCGGGCGCGACTGAGATAGATGTGCGTGGCCAGCTCGCCGGTCTTGTTAACAAGCCTCGTCATAAAGATGGAGATGATAAGAAGACCAAGGAAGCCCGGGTGGCCGCAAGGCGGGGCTTCGTGGGCCCTGCCTGGGAGCTATGGGGCAGCGGACCGGAGCCGGGTGCTGTCCCTGCACCCGCTCGGGTTTTTCCGGCGTTCCCTCCTTCTGAACGTTCATGTGGTGAGCTAGGACCCGGATAATTCCCTCTGTATTCCCGTTCCCGAGATTTTCCCTTTTTCTCATGGAACACCAAATCAGATTTTAAAAAATAATAAAAATACGTAAACCTCTCTCTGTGAGTGCCTGTGTTGCCCTCTGCCACATTTGTTCGGGGAACTGCCGCCTTGCTCCCTTGCCTGCATTTCTCTTCGTGGTTCACTTTCACCTCCGTCTGGCGCTCTCTTCCCTCCTCTGGCTCCCTCTCTAGCTTCGCGGTTGCTTTCTCTACCATGTCGGCGCTGGCTCAGGCCCCAATGAGCTTGTAAAAAAATACAAATACCCCTGGTTATCTCTTGCCAAAGTGAACACCCCCAGATAAGCCAGACCCAATGAAAATAAAATTTAAAAAAAAACCTTGGGTGTAATTGCTGGTTTGGGTTGCAGTATTTAATTCTGTTTATTCTTGCCTATGTGCATACTTAACGGAGAGATATTGATATTAAAGGGCAGGGGGGAATTAATTTTACTTTTATAGTCGTCTATTAAGAGCAAAAGATGATCTGAATCTCCTTTAAAGGGACACAAAAAGGGGGATGGGGAAGAGAAGGAAAGGGAGGGGGAAGGGAGAAATATGACTGAAGGCGAACAAAGATCTTTGCCTGAAGAAACAATGTAACACTAGACAGAACTATAAAGTCTGGGAATGTAAGAACGCAGGACTCTCAGCTTCCCCCATTTGGAATTCTGTCCCCTGCACTTCCTGCTGAAATCCTGACCCTGACTACACAGTGGTATTCCAGGAAGAATTCATGCAATTATTTGGATAATTGTAGGGGGAGAGAGAGAAAGCATTTCTCTTTTATTGTCTGACCCTCTCTGATGTCTGTGCAGAGGAGGAGGGGCCAGGGGTGTATGGGATTTCGAGGAAAAGGAGATGGTAGGGTCTCCCAATATCACCCTAAACCCTACAAAATGGCTACTCCTAAATCCAGCAGGCCCTAGGCAGGAGCTTATAGATTTTGGAACATACTTACGAACACACAAGAGATGGCATTTGAATGCCCTGATCCAGTTTCATTTTCCAAGATATTGCTTGGCTTTACTTTGTCGGCATAGACCTGCCTCCCCTAGTATTATAATCATTACAAGTTAGGGGATAATAGATAATTATAGGGGTGTCAATAATATTATTTTATAGCCACACAAGATATGATTAGAGTTAATGTCGGAGGCTCTGCTGGAGCCTGGGAGACAGCAAGAGACAAGGTAGAGGGCCCTCATAGTCTTTCTCTATCCTATTTTTACATGTGTGTGAATCTCCATAAATTCCTAATTCTCTAAATCTCCTCCCCAGATGTCTAAAGGGAAAGCTCTAGGATATTAGGGCTGAAAGCCACAGAAGGGTGAGCCACGATTTGGTATTTGAACTCCACTCCCCTCCCGGTAGTTTCAGGAGCTGTGGGATCTGCTCTCCCCATGCCCCCACAGCCTGAGGCTTTGCTCTCAGTCCAAGCCCATTAGGGTCACAGAGACTTTGCAGGTGGGGCCAATGTGAGGAAGAAAGGTTCTTATCATCCCCAAGTGGGCCCTGGGCCCAAAGTGAAACCCCTTTTGATCCCCTTTTGGCCTTCCCCCTCTCCCCCAGGAAAACCTGGGTGGGGCAAAAGCCAGGCTGGGGCTATGAAGGTCAGTTCAGAGTGGGGATGAAGGAAGGACTGAAAATATTTTTGTCGTTGTTGTTTCTGGGATTTGAGACCAGAAGCGACCAGAAGGTTGTGGAAGAGAGAGAAAGATTAAGGAAGTGCCTGAGAGCAAGGCAAGACAGAACTCAGGGAAGCTATGGAACTGCCGGGCAAGGGTAAAAGGAATGAGTGCAAAAAAGGGAGCGAGAAGAACAGCAGGAGAAAAAGAAGAAAAGAAAATGAAAAGGAAAAGACAGAAAAAAGAGGAAGAAAAAGACGGAAGGAAACGAAAGTAAGAAAAAAAGAGAGAAAGATTGAAAGAGAAAAAGAGGCGGGAGGGAGGCAGAAGCAAGGGTCGGCGGTTGCTCTCCCTTGCCTGGTCGCCTGCAGCAGTCTGGGTGGGCGGGGGCGCCATGACAAAGTGAAGGTCAAGTTAGCATCGTACCTTATAAGGAAGGCGCCCGTTCTCCATTTCAGCCTTTTCTCTGCCAGGACGTGGCGGTGGCATTTCTGGTCTTGTAAACACCGGGCTCTTTGGGGCCTTAAAAAAATAAAGACCCCCGCTCCGCTTCTTTCTTTACTGGGGGTGAACCGGCCGGGGAAAACGGTGGACAGAGAAATCAACTAATGAAGACTCCGGGAAACTTTTCTCTCTTTTTCTCTCTCTGGCTCCGCTCCTCGCCAGCTGGGGATCCCTCCCTCCCTCCTTCCTCCCCCACCCTACCCTCCCCCCGCCTCTTTTTCTCAGTATCTCCCGGTCTTCCGTACCTCTCGCTGCTGTCTGTAACTCTGGGTTCCCGCTCTCCACTCCCTCCTCCCCTACTGCAGGCTTCTAAATCCGTTCCATTCCACTGCGAAGCGGAGCAGGACCTAAGAATTGGAGAGAAAATTAAACGTCATAAAGAAAAGTTCATTTACAGCTTAAATGTCTGAATGTTACGGTTTCCTTCAGAAAACAAGGCGGTACACTCGGTAAGGAGCAGAAGTGAGGCAGCAGGGGTGGGGAGGGCTGGTGCGGTAGGAGACGGTTTTATTTATTTCTCAGATCCAGAGGCGGAAAGAAAGGGGGAGAGGCAGGAACGTGCGACAGAAGCGTTTTACCCTGGCAGCTAGCAAAGAAGGAGGCTGCAGTCGGTGGGATTGGAAGCAGAACGCCTAAGGACCCAGTGCGGGGGCAGCGACTCCCGAGCGCCAAGCGGGCTGCACGGAGGCCTGGGGTGCGGAGAAACAAGCATTTTGGTATTTGTTGGTCTAGGGGGAGGGAGAAGGCAAGATTGGAGGGACCCAGGGAGACCGGGAGAGTAGGACAGCGCCGCAGCCGGCAGGCGAGACGGAAAGAACTCCGGATCCGCCGCGGCAGGGCAGCCTTCGGCGGTGGGCCACTGACAGGCTCGGCTCAAAGGCTCTGGGAGGAAGGATCCCGAACTGAGATCTTTGATCCTTTTCCTCCAGGGTAGCCAGGGATGTACAGAGAGAAAGAAGGAGAGAAAATTAATTGGTGTGGGATATCTGCGGAGGACTTACCTTTTCCCTAGACCTCACAGCTCGCTTTCGCCTCCTCTGGGCTCTTGGAACCATTTTAAGGCCTTTTAAAATTGGAATTATAATTGCAAGGAAGGGAAGAATGCACAGAAAACAATGATGGGAAATTCTGGTTCAATCCGATGCTCCCAAAGCCTCTAATTTTTGTCACCTCCACCCTCCCCAACTGGAAAACTGGCCTCTGGGATCTGCCCCCTCCCACTTTACCTTTCTGGTTGAGAGCACCTCAGGGATATTAGGGACATGAGGGTCTAGGTCCCGGGTGGGAGCCCACTGGAGCAGGGGGCTTGGTTGGTGGAACTCCCAGGCCTCAGTGCTTGGTGCTCTCCTACCCTGGTATTCTCATCGCCCAAACACAAAGGAGGAGGATTTGATTGTTTCTGGTGATGTTAAATGATCCTGGCTTTCAAAGTATTTCTGCCCCCAAGATCTAAGGTGATTAAGTGTCCCTGCCACAGATGTTTAATCCGGGCAAAATGCCACTTATGTTACAAAATACCTGGGCTCAAGAGGCTGAAGGAGTAGCCAGGAAGCCCCAGGGGGGGAACACCAGGCTCTCTTTGGCAGTATCTAGAGCAGTAAACAGTTGAAATGGACTGGGGAGGCCCTTTCTTATGTTCCCTCAGCCTGGGAAGAGGAGTCCCAGTTAGTGAGGTGGCTTATGAGCTGGATCCTTCCCCCTAGTGTGGGAAAGATAGAGATAGCCAGACCTCACCCTGCAAAAATGTGCTTCATGTCTGTGACATAAAATTGGCAGGCACTTTGGAGATTTAGGGACTTGCAGAGAGTGGGGCAGGGCCAGACACCCTGGTGAAGGCAGAGGCTGAGGTGTGACTCAGGGTGGGTGGGGGAATCTGAGGGAGTAAGCCTGGGAAGGTATCACCCAAAATCATTTCCTCAGAGAAGCCAAATACACACAATGCACTCCAATATTGAAAAACACCAGATGATCTGCTTGGAAGGGACATAAACAGGCCAAGCGGATGCAAGTTAATAAAACCCGAAAAAGCCCAGGCAGGAACACTTAAAATGCCCCAGAAACAAAGCACACCGTGACAAATTCTCACCCAACACACAAGTACACGCACCGGAATGTTCCCAGACACAGAGAAAAAGCGGCTTCCCTACCTTGGGCCTCCACTCGAGAACACTCAGGCGTACCTGCCCAGCTCCAAGAGCGTACACAAATTTGTGCACTCTCATAAACTGACCCAAAGAAATCCTTAGGGCCTGGGGCAGGCACTGGCTGCATGCACAACCCACAGAGCCAGCCCCATGTCTCCTGAGCCTCGCTAATGCACGATCCATACCCGGAGATAAAAGTCTAGACAATAGGCGGCTGTTTATGACAACTGGGCTCTCCAAGTTTGGGGCCAGGCGATAAATCTCTGGCGAATCTTCCTGTAACTCAACTTCTGGCTGTAGTGAGGAGAAAAACCACTGAGCCCGCAGAGAGGAAAGCAGCAAAATGGGGGAGACTTGTAAATCCTGAGCAGAAGGCACCTTCCCTGCTGGGGCAAGGAGGCACAGGCCACCACACTCACCCCACACAGCAGTCCTCACTGTGGAAGCTTTCGGAGCAAGCTTCAGAGCTCAGGCAAGTCAGAGTTCCCCACTGCCCGCCCAGACTTCCAGGTTCCGGAAATCAGGGCAGAATGTGCAGGCAGAAGGCAGGGCCTGGAGGCTGGAACAGATCCACAAACAAACGCTTCTTGCTGGAGCCAAAGAATCTTTTTTTTGTTTTTAGTGACAGGACACTTTTTGCTCTGTGTCACCTGAAGTTTTTTCACCCCATGCCTCCTCACCCCTCTCTCTTTTTTTTTCCTTTTCCTTTTTGGATCGATTAGCTGTTTGTTCCCTTTTGCATTTTCGACCTAGGCATCTGATTGCTAGTAAAGAGCCACTGAAGTTGATCTCATAAAAATGCCGCGAGCTCACTTTGATCAGCGCGGACTAGGTCCGAGCCTTAAAGTAGGAGCTAAAGCCAGAGAATCAGGGCTCTGGCCAACTGGCCTCTGCTCTGCCATAAGGCAGGAGATCTGGGTGGCCCAACAGAGCAATCTCACCCAGAAAAGGTATTTTCTGTGCCACAGCAACTGGCTTAGGAAACTAAAGCCCAATAGCAGCGGCTCCATTTCCAGACTGTTTTTAAGACATTTCCTTCATTTTGGAGCATTTGGTGAGGGGGCCAGTGAAACGGGCTCGTAAAATGGGGCTTTTATGGGAAGAAATAGGGTCGGGTTGCTAGCCTCCTGGGACAATCTCTCCACAGAGGAAGCTGGGTGGGGCCTGTGGGGGCAAGGGAGCTGCCCTCCTCCCTCCCCACTACCTCCTCTATAGGTCCCAGGAACCTCTGAGCAGTGTCCACCAGCTTAGGTGGCCTGACTTGGGAACTCAGGCTTGGGGCGATGGCCAAGTCTGAGAAGAGGTGGAAGCCAGGAACTAGCAGTCCCACCCCATTCTTGTTCCCTGGCTGGGCTGGGGTATCCTGGGTGAATGATAAACTGCTGACCTGAAAATCCCAAAGCATACTAAAGGGATTATTGCAGGCAGTGGTGTTACCCTAAGGGAGAGAAATATAGGCAAGAAGGTGAAAGCCAGTTTCTAATGAGTGCTCCTTGCTGGCCCAGCCAGTGAGCAAATGAAGGTGTCCATCCATGGGACTCTCTCTGCTTATCTTTTTATTGACTCCACACAGGCTGAATTTACAATCCAAGCCCACTGGAGCTCATGCAGGCCCCATTTCTCCTTTCAGCATTTTCCTCCCCAGCTGATGATCTGTGGGATGGGCTCCTTTCCCTACCACTATCTGCTCTCTAGAACCCAGAGCAGCGGGAGGAAGTAGATAAGCTACAGGAGGCTCCAACACTGTATGCGGGAGTTTGCTCTGGGAACCAGCCAGGCCAGAATTTGGGAGACACTGCTGCTCCCTTCTGAAGCCACCCGTGTTGTCTGTGTGTGGGAGGGAAGGGTGCTGGAGTCTGCCTTAGCCAGGGTCAGGCTACCGGGACAGCCGCCCAAACCACAGCCGCCCAAACCACAGCCGCCTGCTAGCGGCCAGGCTGGCTGCCGGCGCTGACTGAGGACACCAACATCCAGTGGGGAGGACGGGATGGCCCTGCTGCAGAGAATTTCAGGTGAATTTCAGAATTTCAGGACTCAAAGCAGTTGGAGAGGCCACAGGTACCCACCAGAATAAGCGACCTGGAGTGGGCTTGACAAGAAAGGGATTGGAGGCCAGGGATGGGTCCTGTGTGGGGAGGCATTGAGGCTTTGGCCAGAGTCAGCAGGCTGAGGTGGTGTAGCCTGGAGCGAGCAGCTCAGCTGAAGTTTCCAGGTAGCCTGGACCCAGGGCTGGGCAGGGAGGCTATTTCACACTGTGGGCATTTTTGCCCACAAATGTCTAGCTGACCTTAGTGGCCAGGGCCTTCTTTCCTTGACCCTAGCAGCAACTTCCAGTTGCTAGGGGTTTTTCGAGTTGTTGAAAAACTAAGTCTTATCAACACTAGAGAACATTTTAAACTTCGTGCCTTCCTTTTAAGGGGAGGAATATTATTTTCCAGATGTCTCTGTTGGGAGACCCCAGAGTATCCTGGACATCAACTCTTTGACATTCTTTTTTGCCTTTCTTTTTTGTTTCAAGGAAATAGGGCCGCCAGCAGCTCCTTGTTGCCGCCTGGCTCACTTTTATGGTGGCCCGGGAATAAACTTTGGTGGTCAAATTCAAGTGCTCAGGCCAGCAGCTGTCTCCTCACAGGAAGCAGTCCCTACCCCCACTGCAGCCCAGGCTGCGCTGAATCTGCCTTGGGGGATTGGGCCCCACTTCACCCTGGAGGGCCAGGAGTGGGAAGGAAGTAGAGCCTTGGGTGGAAGTGGAGAAAGGAGGAGCTGAGACTTGAGCCCTCATTCACACCTCTGCAAGGATAGAGGTACCTCTCCCTTCCCTCTTGCTGGTTCCTACCATTGTTTGGGGAGCATTTTGCCTCCAATAAACTCGAGTTTAATGAGGTCAGTGCAAACCCCATTAAAAGCCACAGTCCATGGTTCCCCACCATTATAATTAAAAATGCTGGCCCAGCTCACCCTATAAAAAGGGCTAGAGGAAAAAGGAAACAACAGATTTTCTTTTTGTGGTCCCTTCCCGACAGAGAAACCTCACACTTTAGCAAAGCCCCAATCTAGTTCTTCTTTCTTCGGTTTAAGATCTGACCAGAACTAAAGAAGCAGCACCCAGCATTGAGTAGGTAGTCGGGTGCCTGAGTCCTATCCCTGAATATTCCAGAACCACCCCGAGAATGGGACCCATGGTGGAGGCAGACTCCACCCAGGTGTCGCTGTAAATGCTGGGGAGGCAGGAGGGCTGAGGATCAAGTCTGGGGAGGCAGGAGGGCTGAGGAGGAATGGATTTTAGAGGTTACATATGGAAACAAGCTGCAATTTTTTGTGTCTTTACTATCTGGTTTGGGAGCCGCAGCACCTGATCATGTTCCATCAAAACAAATCCAATCTCATTTTTTAAGTGGAAACTAATTTTAAGTAAGGGTTATGGGTGTAAAGAGAGTTTGGGCTATTTTTTGTTTTCTCTGAGTGTGCATTGGGCTGAGCCCTTGGGGGCTTCAGTTCTTCCCCTCCTTCCCAAACAAATCATGCCCTGGCAGCTCCTCTTTGGGTCTAAGGTTGCTTTCAGCTCATGCCGGTTGCTTTTGGCCCCCTGGACCCAGTCCAGAACCTTTCAATAAAGTGATTTTCAGCCAGATGTGTCCTGTGGCGCTCGGAGGGATGGAAGGCAAGGGATTGGGGGTGCAGAATCTGGAACTTACTTCTTGGGCTACGGCTACCAAGGAGGCTGACAGACTTGAAGGAGGCAGGGAAGGACTGAGAAATAGGAAGGAGGCACTAAGATCTGGCCACAGCCCCAGGGACAGCAGCTGGGGGCTTTGACTAGGGAGTGGCCCCTGGCCCTGCCCTGATGCCATAGCCTCCACTGCTCCTTTCCACTGTCCTGCTAGTCTCTTCTGGAGACCCATACCTGGCCCCACTGCCCACCTTACATTCCCTGCAATCATCCAAGGATAAGAACCCCAAACTTAGTCTCCCCACCATATTCTTCCTGGACCCTGACACTAGGCTTCTTTTCAACCCGCTAGCTGAGGCTGAGTCGCTAAGCCAAAAGGCCCTGACATAGAAGATACATGGCTCTCATTCCAATCCTTTTCTTTGGGGTTTGGGATTTGAAAATCCACAGTGGATGTAGCTTTCTTCACATTGATTGACAATAAAGGCAGGCATGAAATATTCACCCAGGGCCACTCTCTCATACTAAATATTTAACACAACATTAGAGAAGGTTTTTCCCAGACTTCGCCAGGCACCGGCTGGGCGGCTGGCGCACTGCTCACCACTCGTTTATGACTAATCCGACTCCCTAGCCAACGGCAGCACAGCAAGCCAGACAAAGTTGGGACACTGGCTTGCAGCTGGGCTGCCTCACCTTTGGGAAACTTCAAATACTCTTCCAGGAGTCTCCCTAAGGACTCCAAAAAGGTAGTCTTGACACCCAGCTCTGGCCAGGAAGAGAGCGGACTTCTTCAAACTCTTGTGAACAGGCGATGATTCTGCAGGTTGGAGGGGTAAGAGTCCCTGAGATTTAAGGGAAAGGATTCACTTCTCTGGGGAAATCAGGCAGTGGGGAAAGAAGTCCTCACTCCCACCCTTCTGATGCTGATCACAGGGAGAAGGCAAGACCCCCATACGTGAGAGCCCTCCTCCTTCCCCCAATCCTGGGGGAAAAAAGAGCAGCAGCTAGAAAAAAATACAATTACCCCCTCCCAGCCACCACCCTCGCCCATCCCACCGCCCACCCCACCCCAACCCTCTCTCTCCTCCTTTGCTCTGGCTGTGGTATGGAGAGAAGGGGAGTGACGAGAGAAAAACGAATACAAATCTGCAATTGATTTTCATAATGTTTCTGCGGTGTTTGCAAACCAATCGCCTGAACGTCCCCGATCTTACCTAAGAGAGAACCCCTCCTACGTCTGCGAAGTGCTCCGAACTGATATATGACAATATCTACTTTGGATCACGTGCTCGGGGAGAGAGACTAAGACGGATAACGCGTCATCTCGCCTTCCCAAATTTTCCCCCCTCGCTAGACCGGGTCCAAAACCTCCATCCGGAGCCGGCAGGAGAGGAGAACGATGTTTAACTCGGTCAACCTGGGCAACTTCTGCTCGCCGTCGCGCAAGGAGAGGGGCGCTGATTTCGGCGAGCGAGGGAGCTGCGCCTCCAACCTCTATCTGCCCAGTTGCACTTACTACATGCCCGAGTTCTCCACGGTCTCCTCCTTCCTACCCCAGGCCCCCTCTCGTCAGATCTCCTATCCCTACTCGGCCCAAGTGCCCCCGGTCCGGGAGGTCTCCTACGGCCTGGAGCCATCCGGCAAGTGGCACCATCGGAACAGCTACTCCTCCTGCTATGCCGCGGCCGACGAGCTCATGCACCGGGAGTGCCTGCCTCCTTCCACTGTCACCGAGATCCTCATGAAAAACGAAGGCTCCTACGGCGGCCACCACCACCCCAGTGCCCCGCACGCAGCCCCCGCCGGCTTCTACTCCTCAGTCAACAAGAACAGCGTCCTGCCTCAAGCCTTCGACCGTTTCTTCGACAACGCCTACTGCGGTGGCGGCGACGCGCCCGCCGAGCCCCCCTGCTCCGGCAAGGGCGAGGCCAAGGGGGAGCCCGAGGCGCCCCCGGCCTCGGGACTAGCGTCCCGGGCTGAGGCGGGTGCCGAGGCGGAGGCTGAGGAGGAGAACACAAATCCCAGCTCGTCCGGTTCATCCCACTCTGCGGCCAAGGAGCCGACCAAAGGAGCCGCCCCCAGTAGGTAGCAGCGGCCGGGGAACTGGCGGGCAGCGAGGGAGGGAGCGAAGGAGGGAGGGTGAGAGCAGGGGGGAGGCCAGGGGAGCAGGAATGGCCTCGTGTTTTGGGTCAGTCCGATTTTATGTGGAGTTTTATAAGCATTCAAAGGATTTTATTATAACCTACAAAGCCCTCTCTCCCAACGACTCGACTTTTTACGATGGAGAAGGGGTGGGGAGGGAGGGAAAAGGGCTCTTTGGAAAAGCCGGGTGAACCCCCCTCCCCCGTTATCT